AATTGTATGGGAGGAGATGTAGGTCTCCCATTGTTTGTTTGATACATTTGAGGTTAGACCTTGGGGTACTAACCTTTTGAGGGATTCCTTAGAGAAAGTGAAATCTATTCAAGAAAAGCTTTTAGCGGCGCAAAGTAGGCAAAAGGAATATGCAGATAGAAAGGTTAGAGACTTGGAGTTTATGGAGGGAGAGCAAGTCTTGCTGAAGGTTTCGCCCATGAAAGGGGTGATGCAGTTTGGTAAAAGAGGTAAACTAAGCCCAAGGTATATTGGTCCCTTCGAAGTACTTAAGCGAGTAGAGGAGGTGGCTCATGAGTTAGCCTTGCCTCCAGGGCTGTCCGGAGTGCATCCGGTATTTCATGTGTCTATGTTAAAAAGATACCATGGGGATGGAAACTACATCATTTGTTGGGATTCAGTTCTGCTTGATGAAAATTTGTCTAATGAGGAGGAGCCTGTTGCTATTTTAGATAGAGAAGTTCACAAGTAGAGGTCAAAGGAGATTCCATCCATCAAAGTTCAATGGAAGAATCGACCCGTTGGAGAAGCCACTTGGGAGAAAGAGGCTGATATGAAAGAAAGATACCCACACCTGTTTACAGATTCAGGTACTTCTTCTCATCCTTGTTTTTCTTCTTATGATCGTTCGAGGACGAACGATGGGTAAATTGGTATCTATTGTAACGACCTGTTTAGTAGTTTTGAGCAACATATTTTATTTCTGGGAAAACTGGCTGAGTCGACGCGACGGACCGTCAAGTGCACGACGGACCGTCGAGGGTGTCTCGTTCCAAAAAACTTAGAATTCTGAAAATTGGGTACTGAAATCGACTCTCTGAACATCGTGACGAAGTGGCAGGACGGACCGTCACAAGCATGATGGGCCGTCACAGACTCTTTAATGGAATTGAGTCTCTAAACTCTGTGACGGAGCAGCAGGATGGACCGTCGCAGGCACGACGGGCCGTCACAGGCTGCGTAATCCCAGGTTGGGTCAGATTTCTGTAATTATTTTAAGGGGCATTTTGGACTATTCCGGCTTATAATTATAAAGTTAGTGGTTTAATATTAATAACTCAATTACTTGGGGGTTAAAAGAGGTAACCTTGAGTTAATTAGTGGGTTAAGTCCTCATCTTTTATACTTAATTATATGCTAATTAGGGTAAAAGATAGAGGGTTTGAATAAGAAAAATAGAAAGAACAAGAGAGAGACAGAGAACGATCGAGAAAGAGGGAAACAAGAGAACAAAGCTTTGTAGTAAACTCTTAATAGCGAATGATATGTGTTAGGTTGTATTGTAAAGTCGTCTATATGCTTAATTATATGCTTGTATGAATGTGATTATATAATTGTGATGAGATAAGCGTGATGAAGCTATTGAATCCCAAATCTTGAAAACCCCTTGTTAATGATGATGCCTTGATATAAAAGAAGGCTTGATGAACTAAAGTAATGAGATGATGATGCCTTGGTATAAAAGAAGGCTTGATGAACTAAAGTAGTTAAATGATGATGCCTTGGTATAAGAGAAGGCTTGATGAATTAATAGAATGATATTAGTGGAGTGGGTGTCACGAACCGACACGTAGAATTAGGGGATTGAGTGTCACGAACCGACATGTAGAATTAGGGGATCGGGTGTCACGAACCGACACGTAGAATTAGGGGATCGGGTGTCACAAACCGACACGTAGAATTAGGGGATCGGGTGTCACGAATTGACACGTAGAATTAGGGGATCGGAGTGTCAAGTTCCGACACATAGTAATAGGGAATCGGAGTGTCACGTTCCGACACCAGGATAGTATGATGAGGATCAGAGTGTCACGTACCTACACGAGAGGAATAAAGATAATGAATCTTGGAAGATGTTAATATATTCAATTTAATGAACCTAATTCCCAAATGAGTATGATATGGAGGCTTGAGTCCTCATGAGTGTATTTGATGTTATTTATCAAATATTCGTGTGCATGTTGTTGCTACAGATTAAGTATTGTAGTTGATTTATGATATGATTTGATATATATTGTTTTCTATTTTGAGTTGACCGATGATATCTACTCAGTACCCGTGTTTTGTACTGACCCCTACTTGCATGTTCTTGTTATTTGTGGAGTGCAGCAAACATGCCGTCGTCTTCAACTCAACCGTAACTCTAGCCAGTCTTCATTACACCGGATTTCAGGGTGAGCTAATGCTTCTAGCTTGGACTGGGTCTTCCTCTTCATGTCTTGATGCCTTGAACTTCCGGCATGGACTAGCTTTTACTTATTTTAGCTTCTTAGATACTCTTAGATTTAGTAATTTGAGATAGATGTTCTTGTGATAATGACTTCAAGATTTTGGGGATAATAATAGTAGTTGAGTTTTTAGAAGTTATTCAAATTTATTTTCATTAATGAGTTTAAGTCTTTCGCATTATATTATGTTATTATATTGAAATGTTGGGTTTTGTATTGATTGGTTCGCTCACATAGGAGGGTAAGTGTGGGTGAAGGTCGCGGCTCGATTTGGGTCGTGACAGGTTCCTCCAAAGGACCTTGACTAATTCTACTTCTTTTGTTCTCAACTCGCGAACTTGGCTATCTAAGATCTCAACCGAAATCTCTTCATAAAATAGACTATCCTTGACAATTTTAGTGGGAATGATCAATGAAGTGTCCCAATATTTTTACTCCATAGAATGGTGAACTAAATCTTGTCCTATCAAACCTGCTTCACCAAGTTCAAACCATCAAATAGGAGATTTACATACTCTCCCATAAAGATCTTCATAAGTAGTCATTCGGATGCTAGAAAGGTAACTATTGTTGTAAGAAACTCAATGAGAGATAGGTGATCATCCCAAATCCATTTGAAATCGAATCATGCATGCCCTCAACATATCTTGTAATGTCTGAATGGTATGCTCTGCTTGCCGGTTTGTCTAAGGATGAAAGGTATAGAGTACTTAAGTTCCCCTTTGATCCCAAACCTTTCTGAAATTCTTCCAGAATTTTTTAGTAAATTATGCACATCTATCTGAAACAATAGAGGATGTACAGCTTAGCATAATCCTCTGCCAAATAAGTAGTATTTACCGGTAAAAAGTGAGTTGATTTTTTCATTCTATCGACTATCACCCAAACAGAATCATGCTTCTTAGAAGATTTGGCTAAGTCTGTGATTAAATCCATATTAATCATCTCCCACTTTAACTTTGTAAGATATATTTTCTGAGCCAAACCTTCCCACCTTTGGTGCTCTACTTTAACTTGTCAATTTGGGCACTTGGAAACAAATTTTTAGCAATGACCTTCTTCATACTATTCCACCAATATACTTCTCACAATTCGCAATACATCATTGTGGAGCCCAAATTAATTGAGTTTCAAGAGCTATGAGCTTCCTCCATGAGCCTCTCTTTCAGTCCATCCACCATTGGTACACACAGTCTACCTTGATATCTCAAATCTCCACCTTGTTCAAAAGATAATAGTCTTTGCTTTTGAAAATTTGCCTTCAACTCAAGCAAAATGAGATCTTGGTCTTGCTTTTCTTTAACTTCTGATACTAACGATGATTCAGAGACATTCCTCACCACCATTCCACCTTTTGTGGTATCCATTAGTCGGACTCCTAAGCAAGAAAGTCTATTAACATCTTTTTCTAGTTCCTTTTTATCTTCTTCAAGATGGGCAGTACTACCAATAGACAACCTGCTGAAGGCATCTAAACCAAGATTAGTATTACCTGGGTGATAAAGAATGTTCATATCATAATCCTTGATAAATGCTAACCACCTACTTTGTATGAGATTAAGATCTAAGTGAACACATATTGTAGGATCTTGTGATTAGTGAATACATCAACATAAAACCCATACAAATAGTGACACCATATCTTCAAGGTGAATACCATCACAGCCAACTATAGATCATAGGTTGGGTAATTATTCTTTTGAACTTTCAATTGTATGTAGGCATAAGCTATAATTCTTTTTTCTCTTTATTAATGTTAAAAAAACATACTAGAAATTAATTAACATAACTTTATGCTAATAAAATAAAGATTGTTTCTTAGATCATATTCATCCATTATAAAAACACCAACAAGTGTCACCAAGAAATCTCTCATGGACTAAAGATCTCAAAATTTCAAGGATAGTAGTACAAAATGGGCCTTTTGTCACAAATCGAGTCGTTGATGAATGAAAATAACTGGCACATTTTCATGACCATGTGGATTAACAAATGGGTAAAAGAAGCGAGCTTAGAGAATTGGATGACAATACAATGACTGACTATTCATTTGATGAAAACTCCTAAAACACCAACAATCAGCACAAATATATTATTCTTTAATTCCATCATCACCCTTCTTCGTAAATTCACGATATCCATCAATCGAATACTCACCAAAATTAGTAGCATGATTTTTTAGGCATATCCCATATGTAATCATCATATTACCACTTGGATTTGAGTTTGAACTATTTTTCATTGCTTGATTAATTTTTTATGCTAAAGACTTGAGAATGAAAATTTTGTTTTTTTAATTTTGTGATTAAACACTCTTAATTAATGTGCATAACAAACTTCATTTGCTTGTTTGACATAAATCGAATCATAATATTATCATATATTAGAAGTGAGCTTATTTTATTAATTTTGCATTAATAATATCTATATAAAACGTTTGATAAGAATCATACAGATAAGAATGATTTAAGTAAGTTTATGTATATATTATTACTTTACTAATATTTCGTAGTGGCACTTCAAAAGGACTAACACAAAATATTCAAGTTGTACCAAAAGTACTACAAATTGTACATGATATTTAGTTTGTTATCTATTCTGATCAATAATTGTACCAATATCACTGTCAATTGTACTAAAAACTTTGTCAAATCTGATTGGCTATTGAATATTCTTTACTTTTTTATTAGTACTTGTACTATAGTTCTTTCTCATCAAGTCACGTGTACTTTGTAGGAAGATTTTATTTTCTTGATTTTCCAACCACTGATTTCTCTAAGTTTCTCTGAAATTGTTCATTTTTTCTTTTTAATAATTTACAAATTTTGTCATATGATAGTGAAGATTCTTCGTTTGAATTTTTTTATTATTGAAAAGTTTTTTGTGTGTAATCACAATATGTTATTGTGGGTTGTTTATTATTAACGTTTCAATGTGCATTTACTAATTATTTTTTATATTCAGGTGCAATTTTATGGATGATTTTGAATCCAAGCTTAAAGATATTGACCTATTTAGGACTTTTCTCCCCTTTTTCTCTTTCGAATGAAAATCTAATTTAATGCAGTTTAAAAATTAAAGAAACAAAGGTGTTTGATAGTATGCTTGAACCAACTAAAAGTTTATTGTTTTCTCTTCCTTGCAGATTTGCTACATGGTACGCCTCTTCAATTTTTAAGATGCTTGGTCAATATTAACTTTTTTGGATATTGTTGGTGAGTCTAAGCTTCTATATTGAACTATTCGCGAATTATATTGGCTTCTATATTTTCTAATGAATTTCTTATATTTTTTAAACTTCCCAAAACAAGAGTGATCTTCAACTTTCAAGAAAGATTTAAGACAATATTATCGAAGGAGAAATTTATGAAATCATTATCTCTCAACATACTTTTAAGTTCATGGGTAATATTTGTTAATTCTTTAAATTGCATCTACTTCAAATGATGATAGTCCACATATGTTATTGCCTCCTTCCATTTACCAACATAGTAAAATCTACACTTATTATTAGATTGGATTTTTTTAAAATATTGCTTCTTTTAAATTAATATTTATTAGTTTGATTAGTTACATGACTTTTGTAAAGTAAAAGGATAGTCATATATTAGGACTATTAACATGCTCGATATCCTTCTAGTAGGCATCAATATGATTGAAAGTTTAAATTTGAACCTTAAAAAAACTTTATTGTGATTATATTTTCATTTTATCATTGCCAATAGAGTGCAATATAACTATGTTGTTTGAGTTTAAACTTCTAGCATACTCTTTTGTTGAATATCTATGATCATTTCTTTTTTTGACAACTATTTTGTTGGGTTGGTATTTTTTATTTACTTTAGATATTTATCCCTTATACACTGGATGTTTACATAATCTTCGTAGTCCAAGGTCTTTTTAATTTATTGGTTCTTAAAATTGGTCGACTGTTTGAATGACTATCCCATCATCTGTTTTTGTTCAGTTTACTTATAGTTCTACATTCCCAGCAATGAATTTTATTAATATGACATTCCCTCTTTTCATTAAACAAGGGATAGAGGGAGCATGGTAGAAAAATCAAGAGAAATGATCTTCCGAGTAAACATAGGTCAAAGGAAGCAGGCCAGAAAGAGCAATAGAAATGGTTATGAAAAGGTTAGACTTAAACCATATGTTCCTCTAAAGAAAATGGTAATTCAATGTTTTGTTTTTGTGCAAGATGTCTGTTCTAATCACTTGAAATGCCTGAATATTTTTGTAAATAAAAGTGCATATTTTGAGAAAGAGAGAAGTCCAAGTTGTTTATTTTAACAAAAATAGGGGTGTAAGAATTGTTTTCTTAGATTGAGATTCATGTCTGCTCCTTATATCACAGAATGCATAAGTACATTGATTGTTTGGTAAAAATGGTGGGATAAAATATTCATGGGATAGTTGATGTCTCGTACCATATAGAAAATGAAGTTAATCCTAAACCTTACCTCGAGATTGGTTTTCTTATCTTATGACCCTAAAGGTATAAGTTGATTCTTGAGATATTATTACATAATGTAATTTCAATATAATTTTGTTGGAGTGAACATATAACACAAATTATATTATGGCCTTACAGGTGAAATTTGTAAAAAGGCCCTCTCATTTGTCAATTGCTTTTTTAATATCTTGGGCTACTAGATTACTCAAACTAGAAATGTATAGAATATATATGTCGAGATGATTAATTTGCATGTCCCTTAAATATAGACAAATAATTGTAAAATAAATAATGTACATTGATAATGAGAATATTGAAAGTACGTTAATCACCAAGAGTGTGTTTGGTATGATGGAAATGTTTTCCAAATTTCTCATGTTTGGCTGGGTCAAATATTTTCCAATTATGCTCATTTTCCTCAAATTTAAGAAAAATAACTTGCCTTCAAAACACAAGGAAAACATTTTCCAAAAACTTCTTCCAACCTCTCCTACCCAACCCACCCTACCAGCCTCCAACTTAACCCTACCAGTCCCTCACCCACCCTTACGAACCCCCACCCACCCACCCCACCCCAAGCCTCGCCCACCCTAAAAAAACAATTAATTTTGTTTTTAAAAATTATATTAAACTTTAAAATTTCATTTTCCACTCCTACTCTCGGCTTCAACCCCCACTCCACTAGCCCCCTACCAGCCCCCCACCACCCTACACCACTACGCCTCCCGCCTAAAAAATAATTTTTTTTTTTAAAAAAAGCAACTTCAAATTATAATTTTTTCAACCCAACCCTCAACCCCCCCTCCCCGCAACAAATTTTTAGTTTATTTTTTAAAACAAAATCCAACTTCAAAAATTATTTTTTACTCTAGTAAAAAATAAAGGATATTTCTCAAAAAAGTTTTTTTTGTTCTAAATCCAAACACTAAAAAAAATTTCGTAAAATATTTTATGCTTACAAACTTAACATGAGAAATAAGTCAAATATCTACGTGTTTTCCAGGAAAAAAAAATTTCTTCATACTTAAAACACCCCAAGTCTTGCTCATTTCTAAATCATTAATAACTGACTTATCCCCTTTCCTTTAAATGACCCTCCACATAAAACTTCTATTTTTATGATGATTAGCATATTTGAAGAAGTTGAAGAATATGAGATTAATTGACTACATACATAACAGATTCATGTCATACTTTTAATGTCGTGACTGCAATAGAAAAATTAATGGTCTCACTCGATAATGCTTAATGAGTTAGAGAAGTATGCATTGGCTAGAAGTTGGGAAGGGATGTGTCATAGTAGGGATGCTGATCAGGGAGGTATGTGAAGTAACTTATGGAGCTACAAGTGTTAGTTTTTTTCAACAAATTTCAATTTTTATTGAAAATTTTTAGTGGAGTAGCAGGGAAAATAATAATGTTTGTGTTTGATCTTTATAACTACGTTAAAAGGGAACACATGAAAGTGAAATTTGAGCTCAATTACACATAAGTCTAGGGAGGTATTTTATTCTATTATACTAAAAGACAATCATGAGAGATTGTATGGTCATTTTTTCTCGTAGCGAAATATACGACATGATTTTATATCGTGGTTGTGTATAACAAATTGTTTGATATAATAATCTTTATTTTATTGATTGAAGAAAATTGTATAATACGCTTTCTGACTAGCATGAACTTAATCTTTAAATATGTTTTTTTCAGATCCAGGAATATACTCTTAAATTAGTTATGAGTTGTAAGCGCATTATTCATGATTAGTAAGATAGAGTCTCAACGGAAAAAATACTTGGTGCAGGTTTGTTTTTACACATGATGATCACATGTGGTGTAGTTGTCATCACACGAACTACTAGAATATCTTATGTTGGAGAGTTACAACTATCATATTTTCATGTCGCTACACTAGATATCTTAATTTTTATGCAGGTGGATAGTGTTGTTTTTTGATTGATTTTATGGCATTTCTGGTGCTTTTTTACTTTGAGTGGATTTTGACGTTAAAGGCTTGATTTAAGAGCTATTGTTTGGATTGTGGCAAATATTTATTTTTAAGGCATAATACATATATTGGATCCTAAACTTTATTTCAAATTTTAAGCTTGATCTCCAACTTTTATTATGCACAAACAAACATTTTAAGTATCAACCTTTTAAATAAATAAACACATGAGTCCTACATGACAAAATACACATAGGGCACCACATTAGACAAAAAATGACATGTAGGACATGTGTCTATTTGTTAAACTTTATACAAGTTTAAATGTTTACTTGTGCACACCCAAAGTTGAAGGGCATAAATGTGATTTGTAATCAAGTTGAAGGACACATTCATGTAATATGCCTATTTTTAATGTAGAATATTTAATCTCCCACTTTAATAATCACCATGTTGGGCCGTGCAAAGCACTGTCCTTGGCCTATCTAGTGTTTGTGTGTATACATACATACATACATACATACATACATACATACACACACACACACACACACACACACACACACACACATATATATATATATTTATGTATATAATTGTTTTTTCTTTAATTTTATTTATTCATTTTTTGTAGATGTCATTTTATGTGTTCTGATACCATACTAAATTGAGTGAATATCTCAACTAAAAGTTCAAAGTGTTTAAAAAACTTCCTTCTGATCTGTTTAGTCGCACTCTCACGCACTACTACAAGTAAGTCTAATTATTTACTAAACTAAGCTTTAAAATATTACTATTAAAGATCCACTTAACTACGCTTTCATCATTATTTATGAAAGTAATGGACAGAAAAATGTTCACGTATTAGGACATCGAAAAATAAACTCAAATATAATAGGCCATTATACATCTTTTAAAATATAGAATAAATTTTGAAATTTACTTATATTTTCAAAGTAGTTTTTTGTGGAAAATAATATTTATGACTTCGCAATTCAGTTTTTTGATTTCACTATATATAATCATTTTAACAACATAAATATTTAGTGGCAATAGAATTTTCTTTTTGCAGTAAAATTTATTGCTGCAAATATATTTAGTGATAATTGAATTAATGTTATTGTATTCAGACAAGCTACTATCTTTAAGAATATTTACATATATACGATGTTTGTTACAAATACTCATATGGATAGTTTCTGCTAAAATATAGTTTAACGATAATTATATTATTATCTTTAAATAATTTCATTAAAGTCATTTATTTACATTTAACTAAGGCCTTTTGAAACCTAATTGTTTCTCTTTTTCTAAATCTTTGAATGGGTTCTATCAAAACCCAATAAAAAAGGTAACAAGTTAAAAAAAAAGAACACGATGAATAAAATAACAACAATCAAGTGTATAGCATGGATTATTTATATTATTTTTTATTTATTTCTCAATTTCTTTTTCAACATTTATGATTTTACTTATTTTTTGCTTTACATAATATGTTTTTGTCTCATTAATATCATTATTTGAATTCAATTTCCAAGAATCTACCTTACAAATTTTGAGGAATTTAAATCTTTGTTTTAAGTAAAGGAAACACTTCATTTGAAAGTATGACAGATGGTAGCAACATTTAAATCTTGATTCAATACGTTGGAAGATGTTACATATCAATCCAAAGAAAATACTCATCGTTTAGTACAAAAATGCCTTAATATTTAAATTCTTATGTTTTATAAATTAAAATAATTTTGTTTGAAAATAAAATAAAAGTATATTTATTTATTAAGTTTTAAAATACAATGTCTATGTAATTTGCTTTAGTAAATTAAGGAAGGTTGTACAAAAAAAAAGTCAAACCAATTAAGTTTATTAGTATTTAATATAAACATCATTAAATTCTTTTTCAAAAATTGATAATTTTTTTATTTTATATTAAAATAATTCAATTAAGTTGACAAGTAATGAAAATGCTATTTTACTATTTTTTTCTTATTAAACAAAAGTATGGTTTTTGACGTGAAACAAATACATTTTTTTCAAAATAAAAATAATTAAACAACAAAATCAAAAGAATATACATAAAACTTATACTTTGCTAAATACTTAACTTATAGGGTATTTCTGCAAAAAAATTAAAAATTTAACAAATAGAAGACAAAGCTAGAAAACATTAGGATATATCATTTCATAATCAAAATACACATTTATCCTCTTTTCCTTTATCGTAATATTCCAAAAACAATTATTTAAGCAAGCCACAATTTTACTCATCAAGTAACTAGATAACTAGATTAAAATAAAACTCCACAACTCATTAAATAAAAAAACTTTAAAAATTAGAAATTCGACTTTAATTCTTCTTTCACTTACTGATGTTAAAAATAAATACTAGAGATTAATTAACCTAATTTTATACTAATAAAATAACGATTGTTTCTTAGCTAATATTCATCCATTGTAATAACACAACCAAGTGTCACTAACAAATCTCTCATGGACTGAAGATTTCATCATGTCAGGGGTAATAGTAAAAAAAGGCCTTCAAGCACAAAATCGAGTCATTGAAGGATGAAAAATAACTTGCACATTTCCACCACCATGTGGATTAACATGTGGGTAAAAGAAGCGAGATCGTTGTATTTGATGGCTATACAATGACTGACTATTTATTCGATGAAAATCCTAAAACACCCACAATTAGCAAAAATATATTCTTCTTTAGTTCCATCATCATCCTTCTTATCAAATTCACGACATCCATCAACGAATACTCACCAAAATAAGTAGCATGATTTTTTTGGCATATTGTTAGGTAGTGGAGCCTGATTAATATATATAACTGTTTATGTGGTTTATTCTATGTAACCAAAAATACTCTGATTTATTAATAAAAATATACCTCACCACCGTGGACGTTTACTCACGGGGTGTCACCACGAAATATTGAGTTTTCTCTTTCTCTCTCTAGATCTCTCATCTATTTCTCTTTAAAGTTCTTGTGTTCTTCATTCATCTAGTGTGTGTGCGTGTGTCACGACCCAAATCCGGGCCGCGACTGGCACCCACACTTACCCTCCTATGTGAGCGAACCAACCAATCTAAACCTTAACATTTCAATGTAATAGCAACAGAAAGTAATGCGGAAGACTTAAACTCATTAATAAAAACCAATTCAATAACTATCAATATTCAACATCTATTATTCCCAAAACCTGGAAGTCATCATCACAAGAACATCTACTTTAAACTACTAATTCTATGAGTTTCTAAGAAGCTAAAAATACACAAGAAGCTAGTCCGTGCCGGAGGTTCAAGGCATCAAGACATGAAGGAGGAGATCCAGTCCAAGCTAGAAGCGTTAGCTGACCCAGAAGATCCGGTGTGACGAAGACTGGCTTGAATTACTGTTGAGTCGAAGATGACGGCACGTTT